AATAAATAAATAAATAAATAAATAAATAAATAAATAAATAAATAAATGGATCTAACAGACTTAAATCAGAAATTCTAGAAAAATCCCCAATAGGAAAAAATGCTAATCATAAACAAAAGTTCCCCCCTGGCTACCTGTGGTGAGGGCAAGAGGTACCACAGACATGATATTTTATGTCATGGTGACATGGCACATATGACATCCTTTTGCCTTGTACTGGACACATGCATTACTCGTATCTTCCTCTTCTAACAAGAAAGCTATTGTTTGTCCTTCTACCACACACAGTGTGGAACTCTGCAGGGGAACATTGGACTGTACTCCTAATTGTAGAATTTCCTCTCTGCAAACAGTTTGGTGGTTCTGCAAGTTTTGTAAAGATTAAACAGTAGTGAAGAAAAGTAAAACGCTCCTTCTCTACCTTGTTTGCTTATTTTCCTCCCAAGGTGATCAAGTGTACTTCCCTCCTCTTAAGAAGTCTATAATGTGAGTTGTGGTTGTGACAAGCCAAGTCACCTAATAAGCTTCAACGGCTGACGTAGATTTGGGACTAAGGTTTTCTAAGGATAGTTCAACACTATTATTAGTCAAAACGTTCTTTCTCTTTACTAACTGAGTTTTGCCAAAAATAATGCAACACACAGGGAAGAAAAACAGAAATTACAAGGGAAATGAACTTACAAAAGCACCATCCAGGCCAGGAAGACCTCTTTCTCCCTAAATAATAACATAAACATAGCAAGCACTTAGATTAAACATAGATTAGCAGGGAAATGTATTATAGAAAGCATTTGCTTATTAAAAAAATAGGGGTCACTATATGGACATTACACAGGTTACTTTTCTGTCAGCCTTAATTCAACTATTTCAAAACAAGGTTAGGGGGACGAAGAGAAATGTTTAAAAAAAATTGTGGGAGACAGGTAGCTTCCCAATCAAAGACTTAAATGCAATCTCTGTAGTAATTACAAGAATGTCTTGATTCTAGACTTAGTTGGGATAGTCAAAATGTTGGCAGCAAAAAACAAACAAACCCATTTGATTGAAAATGAATTAAAAGGATAAAAAAAAACTCAATCAGACCAAAGGCACACCAGCATTTTGAATCCCACCAGTGGCTAAAAACATCTGGGCAGGTTGTCCCAAAAGTGCTTTTTTGTTTTGCTTGAAGTGGTTTTGCTACTCATCCAAAAAGCTTCTTCAGTTTTGACTTCTGACGTCTTCAAGCAAACCAAGAAGGTCCAGTTGCCTTTGGAAAGAAAGCAGCTTTGGGACAAGCATGACCTAGTGCCTGAGAATCTCCACAGATATCTGGGCAGATTCCAGTTTGGAACATCTGGGAAACTTCCAAGTTAGATAGGAAGTTGGTTGCTTTCTTCTACTGGCATTCAGGGGGTGTCTGCATGTGTTGAATTTAAAAAGTGACTCCTTTTATCAAGCATTATTTTTCAAATTCTTAGCTTCCATGGTTAATCTGGAATCTAATAATCAAATTTATTTCACTATGGTCAATGACCTGCAAGGAGTTTTTATATTTCTAAAGCCAATTTATCAAAAACAGGCATAACCTTTTTGAAGCTGTCTTCTTCCTCCCCAAATGAAAATTTCAAATTTAATTGCTTAGAGCCTTAGACAGACCTCCTGCTACAGTTCCTTTATCTGGACATTTCTTACCTTCACTCCTTTAAAAATTCCCGGGGCATAGACAGGTTCACCTTTGGGGCCTTTAGGACCAGGACGACCCTGGAAATAGAAATTAAGGGAACAAGAGCAAAAGATACTCTTTAGCAAAAATAAATAAAAAAGATAGTCAGAGTAAATTCAAAGCTTAGTTGTCCTGAAGCTGAAATTAAAAATTTAAGAAATGCATTTAGAATTCATTTGCATTCTATACATTCTGTTACAGCAATGATGGATGCACTGTTGGAAGCTCAAAAGGACCACTTAGGAATAGATTGTTACTGAGAAAAATCTATCTAGGTGGATTTCCATGAAGTGACATCAACTTGATGGCAGATAATCAACTAATCAATCAACCAATCCAACTCAACCAAACTCAACCCCACAGAACCCAACCAAACAATTTGATATACATCGAAGACGTTATATGTCATCTGTTATGTCAGATGTGTTTCTTGGAAGGCCATCATGGTATTGGCCCCCTGAAGATAGGCTAAGCTACATAAATTACTGAATAAGTACTACTAGTATATGGTTCAGATAACATTTTAAGCCACAATACACCTGGAATTTAGGATAGCCTGTTTATATTTTGTTTCAACAAATTTAAATCCAGCTATTGTTGTTTAAATCTAGCTATTGTGGTCAACCAACCACACACCATGGCTTAGAATACTGCTGCTTATTTATAGTTGGGACTATGGCTTGCTATAATGTATAAATCTACTCACTACCATAGTTGGACTTCCCCAAAGAGGATGACATTGATGAAGTATCTCTAGACAATCATCTGCCTCTCAAGATAGGAAAGAGTTGACATGATGTAATGTGATAAGAGATCTGTGACTTTTTGCTTGGCTGCTAAATGAAGGGAAAGAATTAGATTTCCCCCAAATCTTTTTACCACTTTATTCTAGGAACAGTTATTACACAGTAAGTGGCCTTAGAACCATTCATAGTAGTACCTATTTAAGACAGTGTTTCTCAACTGCAACTTTAAGACGTCTGAACTTCAACTCCCAGAATTCTGGGAGTTGAAGTCCAGATATCTTAAAAGCTACCAAGGTTGAGAAACATAGGTTTAAGATATCCAGAGCTCTTTCCCAACCACCTATCTCAACCTATATGACAAAAACTACATCAAGAAATACCGGTGGTCCTTGGGGACCAGGGAATCCATCTGATCCAGAGGTACCAGGACTTCCAATGGTACCATTACAGCCATCTAAACCAGGAAGACCTCTGGGTCCTGGCTGACCAGGGTGTCCCTGTTCAAGGAAAAGAAGAAGAAGAAGAAAATTAACATTTCCTAATCACCTCTTAATCTTTAAAGAATGCATGGGAATGGAATTGGCCTTGCCAAGGAGGACATTCATTTATAGTTGCATACCTGAACTTGATAACACCACATGTACATTTTTTGCACATTTACTGCATACCCATGCTTTGCACATTTGCTCAGCTATAGAAACTGCAAAAATTTATTGTGTTTCTTGTACTTATTTATGAGCCCAGTCAACTCCCAAGTTCACAATAACCCCAGAGGTATTTTTCTCCTCATTAAATGCCAACAACCTTATCCCAATATTTAGGGCGCTCTGACTGTTATTTGTCCTTCCAAATGTTATCATCTTCATGGGGAAAAAAGCTAAATTTTCAATCAGTTCCTCATTTTATAAAGAATGCAAAGTCATGTAAATAGTCACCACAAAGTACATTTGTTTATATTTGCATGCCTCAACCTGATAACCCTACATGTTGGATTATTGAGACACTTAATCAGTTCTGAGGCTCTGATTCAGTGGGCGAAATCCCATTGAAAAATTAACAAAATCACATTCTTATTAACTGTTCCTAACAAAGGGTTGTACATCTGTACATGAACTGGCTGTGCTTTCATCTCTGTGCAGTTTTTCCCTACTCTCTGAAACCAAAACAGCAGATGGCAGCAGAAATAGCTCTACAAGAGCAAGCTTGCATTGTGGCTTTGAATTCTGACTATAAAACAAAATGAGGAAGGAAGGGTGTGTGTTTAAGCTGCCTCTGCAGGGAACAGAGATTTTGATAGCATTTTTCCAAGAGGCAAGTTAGTCTTTTGCCACCGTGCAAAAACACAGAGCTCTGTGGGCAACCTTAAATCCCCTTAGTGCAACCAAATAACAGAATAACAGAGTTGGAAGGGACCTTGGAGGTCTTCTAGTCCAACTCTCTGCTGAGGCAGGAAACCCTATAGCATGGTTGTCCAATCTCTTCTTTAAAACCTCCAGTGTTGGAGAACCCAGAACTTCTGGAGGCATGTTGTTCCACTGGTTAATTGTTCTCACTGTCAGGAAATTTCTCCTTAATTCTAGATTGCTTCTCTCCTTGATTAGTTTCCACCCATTGCTTCTTGTCCTGCCTTCAGGGGCTTTGGAGACTATATAAATTCTTCTGAAGCACCACCCCATCTCACTCACAGAAGGTGAGAAGACAGTTATGTGATGTCTTCCATTGGGGCTGAAGAGTTCAATAGAATGGAGTTCAAGAAGTTCTCAAGAACATTTAGAATTTACCAGTTGAGAACATACAGGACCAGACAGGAATTCTACTAAGAACAGGATAATTGAGATTCAGCCTTTTGCTTGTCATCTAAGAAGAATGAAACTGAAGAAGCTTCTTGGATGAGAAGCAAAAGGTTTTCAAGGAAAAAACCAAGGAAGTCCAGTTGCCTTTTGAAAAAGCACCTTTGGGACAACTGTTCGAGAATTCTCACCTTGCATGATTTATACATTTGGTCTGTTACAGAAACTGAAAAGATTTATTGTGTTTCTAAGTACTGCAAGGTTGATCTATGAGGCCAGTGAACTACCAAGTTTGCAGTAATTCCAAGTATATTCTTTCACCATTAAATGCCAACAAACTTATCCAAATATTTAGGGCACTCTGACTGTTCTTTATCCTTTGAAATGTCACCATCCTCATAAAACAAGTGAAGAACATTTTACCCAGACAACTTTTTCACGTAAGAAGCTTAAATGGCGGATCTATCTGTTTAGGTAAGAATCTTAGTTTGAAAATCTAGAGGGTGAATGTCATCAGCACAAATTATGTATTTAATTGCAAAGGCCTTAATGCCAGATCTGGAACTGAAATCATTTTAAGTGATGATCATGGACTAACAAACTTGATTTTTAAAAAGATTTCTCTGATTAAAAATAAATAGTATGAAATAATAAAATGAAAGCTGCTCAACTACCAAGTGTAAGTCACGCTCACTATGGAAAACAGCTCCTGGCATGAATTAAGTATTTCCAAATATGCCCACCACTTTACATTATGGTTGTTATCGCTTTTAAAAATAAGCCTGGAAGGTATTCCTTTGACTAGACAATTAATGTGCAGCAATTCAAAGAGCACTGCCCCCCCCCCAAAAGGTAGTGATGATGATAACGGAGGGGAAGGAAGGAAGGAAGGAAGGAAGGAAGGAAGGAAGGGAGAGGGAGGGGAGGAAGGAAGGGAAAGAAGCAGGTGTGGGATTCAAATTTGTAAACAACCAGTTAAGTGGGCGTGGCTAGGTAGGAGTGACTAGGTAGGCATGGCCACGTGGCTTGGTGGGCATGGCTTTTTTTTGCAGCACCCCCAATTTTGGGAGGCTTTTGGGCCTCAGGGAAGCCTCACAGGGAGCATTTTTGCTCCCAGAAGGCTTCCCTGGGGCCCAGGAAGGCAAAAAACGGAGGCTGGGGGGGGGGGGCACAGCTCCATTTTGGTGCCTTCTGGGCCTCAGGGAAGCAAAGCAGTAAGACAGCGAGGGGGATCTCAGCACAGCTGATCATCAGAACAGCTGATCGTTGGGAAAGAAAGAAAAGAAAAAGAAATACCTTAAGGAGTGACGGGGAGGGGACGAATGCAGTCAGTGATGTTGCCCATGCACGATAAAGATTGACTGTGTGGGGAGGGGAGGGGAGGGGTGGACGGAGAGGGGAGGGGCCAACCAGGAGCATGATTTGCCGGTTCTCTGAACTGTGCAGAATCATAATAACTGGTTCCATAGAACCGGTCCGAACGGGTAGAATCCCACCCCTGGAAAGAAGTCAAGAGAGAGGGAGGGAAGGAAAGCATAATGCACCAGCAAAACACTCAATGTATCAATAAAGGAAAATATTTGTAGCTCAAGGTTGAAATGAGGGATTCTTGGTGCTTTCTGAGTTTGGTAAGGAGGAGGGGGAGAGAGCGCAAGCTCAGAAAACACCAAGAATTACTCATTAATGTCTTTAAAAATTTTATCAGATGGAAAATCAGATGTTGTTCCCCACTTGTAGAATGCAATCCTTGCCATTCAACCACAAGTTAGTCTGTCCCTTGAACTGAATAGACTTCGTGCACCTCGCCTGAAGAGTTAATCCTATAAAGGAAAAAAATGTAAATATATTGTAAATCTCTGTATTAATCCTTGTTTGGGGCTTGGTAGTCTTTTATGTCAACAAAGCATCTTGTAATAAAACACAAGCGCTTACCCACGACAACTCAAAGCTAACATATGCTGTCCTTCATACATTTATTTATGTATTTAGTTTTATAGCCAGAAGGCTGCAGATATCTCCTGGGGACAAGCTAATCTGGTAGAAATAAGTTTGTAAGGGAATCCAGCAGACCCAAACCTAAGCAGATAATCAGATAAGGCTACAGAGGATTTATCGATGAAATTATCTTCTCCTTTCATATCCCTGTAAACATCCAGGAGCCTCTTTCTTATACTCGAGTTTGGTGCTTAGAGTTTCAGGGTATAAGATCAGTGCTAGTTGATGGTACATCTCTCTTCATTGTCTGTGGAGACTCTCAGTCATCCAGGTCATGGTTGTCCCAAAGGTACTTTTTCAAAAGGCAACTGGACTTGGTTTTAAGTCCATATGGTCCATATGGAAACGTATGACTAGTTTTTCACCCCTAACGACTTATATAAGGATTATTCTTTATTATTCTTGTTGTCTTGTATTCTCGTATGGACTGTACCAGTAGAGGCTAAACCAATTTCGTTGTATACATGATGTACAATGACAATAAAGGCTTTGAACGTTGAACGTTTTACTAATTTTCACTAATAATCCTACATCAACTTTCCAAGGCTGTCTTGAGCTTCGATGCTCATTATTCTATCTTCAGGTTAGACAGCCAAAGAGATGACCTTGCAGTAAATGTCCCATGAGAATTACAAAACACACATTAAGTCCAGGAAATACAAAGAGCAAGAAAGAAGATCAGATTGGTTATTCCCTAATTCACTACTGTATAAGAGAGAGAGGAAATACATGCTTTCAAGACTCTAAAACTCTAAAACAGAGTTTATATAATAATAATAATAATAATAATAATAATAATAATAATAATAATAATAATAATAATAAATATTTTTATTATTATTTATTAGTCTCAATTTATCAGACTTGAATACCCTGATTCTACAAAAAAACATCCTACTTGGAACAGCTTATATCCTCCGATGCTACCTTAACAGGTCCTTGGTTAGGACTCGAGCTGTTGAGCTACCAACCAGCCCCAAAGGCTCTGAATCTCACTAAAGAAATAATAATAATAATAATAATAATAATAATAATAATAATAATAATAATAATAAGAATAAGAATAAGAATTAGAATTAGAATTAGAATTAGAATTTCAAGAAAGAGGTATCTTGACCTAGACTACCTTGACAAGTTTAACAATTACATTAGTTTGGCAATTCAATGCCCACTAGAGTATTATCAATAATGACAAACAATAATGAGAATTGTAGCACAATGGTAGTAGGAGTAAAAATATAGTATTTTATTTTTCAAATTATCACCAGTTTATATATTTCCCTTATGTGACTTCTTGGTGTGATTTTTTTTTTATTTTTCTAAAACTGTAAGCCACCCAGGGTTTTAATGTCTTCTGTTAAAGAAAGTATTATAATCCCTTATGACAGATTGCTCTTTTTTTTTCACGCAAAGACCTGATTTGGCCTTTGAGTGATGTGTTGACTTCTCTCCAAGAAGTTGTGGGGCCAGAACTAAATTTAATTTACATTTGGTTAACATAATATTAGGTGGCGAGGATTTAGATGGAGGCAGCCCAAGTCACCTCAGGGCTGCAAGCTAGAATAGGGATGAGAGACCATCCCCAGCTCTTACTGTCCACCTCTCCCACATTGCAACTAAAAAAGTTCACACTGAAATGTTCGTGACTTCACCAGGAATCAAGAATGAGTAAAGGGAGACTTGACGATGGTTGCTTGAAATGAACGAGTTGTTGAAATGCACCATTAAAGCTGACACCAGCCAGTGCAAAGAACAACTCAAAGAAGCAGTGCAAGATTAGAAGATGGGGGGAGAGATCTGACCCATAGAATCACCAAGTCGCACATGACTGAATGGATAACATCATCATCATCATCAGTTGTTGAAATGAATCCCCGTATCTTCAATAACGTTTAATTTTTGTCACATACAGAATAACAGAGTTGGAAGGGATTTTGGAGGTCTTCTAGTCCAACCCCTGCACAAGCAGGAGACCCAATACCATTTCAGACAAATGGTTGTCCAATCTTTTCTTGAAAACCTCCAGTGATGGAGCATCCACCACTTCTGAAGGCAAGCTGTTCCACTGATTAATTGTTCTCAGTCAGGACATTTCTCCTTAATTCTAGGTTGCTTCTCTCCTTGATTCATTTGCATCCATTACTTCTTGTCCTGCTCTGCAAAGGGTTGGTAATTTCTGGAAGGAATTTCTTGGCCAAACCAAGCTTCTTGAGAACCTTTGGAGACTCCAAGCTTTAAGATGATGGACCAGTCATAATCTAAATTGCAAAGTACAAGACCAAAATCCTACGTACGCTGAACTAAACATAAGCTCTTTCCCAGTGAAGAAAACTTATTTCTAAGTAAATCCAAACAGGACAGACACAGTACTTAAGGAAGAGAGAAATCAGCCGAATCAGAAGGCACAAATTTGTGTATTAGGAACATTAAAAGGCCCCTCTTGAGTCCATGCCAGATCCTGCTTTTCAAACAGCCTGCGGTTTTGTTTTGTTTGCTTTTGAACCGTACATGCACGAGCTGATACAAGCCAGTCCATATGCTATCACTCCCTGATATGTTTCCATTCAGCCAGTGTTGTATTTTCAGCTGAAAAGCTATGACTGATGCATCTCAACTTCCAAATTTCTCAACCTCCTTCCGTGGGAAAAGCTAAACATCTACATCGGGATGGGGTGAGGGCTGGGGAGGGAAAAGTGGGAATGTGCCAGGCAGGTGGTGAGGGGAAGTTCCTTCAGGCCCTTTTTCTGGGACATCAGTGGTTAACAAGTCACAAATGCAGGGAGAGATGGCAGATACAAACAAGATTTTCCCAACAGCTGTAGCAACACAATAAATGAAGTCCATCTGGCAGCAGTTTCTTTGGGAGGGCCTATGGTGACCTCTTTCCCTCCCACCCATTCATGTACAGCCATCCTGAAGCTGTGGGGCTCTTCCCACCATGCCCACATCCCCACTGTGATCATACATTCACTGCTTGGGGTAACTCACCTGGTTATCATTCCTGTAACGCAAGGGTCTTCAAACTTAGCCAGTTTAAAACTGGTGGACTTCAACTCCCAGAATTCCTGAGTTAACAAGGCTGGAGGAGGAATTCTGGGAGTTGAAGTCCACAAGTCTTAAAGCTGTCAAGTTTGAAGACCCCTGATCGATTTATCTATCATCTCTCTCTCTCTCTGTACCTACCTACCTGCCTACCTATCTATGTATCCATTGAACTATCCATCACCTATCTATGTATGTATCTATCACAAGGGTCTTCAAACTTGGCAAGTTTAAGACTTGTGGACTTCAATTCCCAGAATTCCTGAGTTAACATGGCTGGAGGAGGAATTCTGGGAGTTGAAGTCCACAAGTCTTAAAGCTGTCAAGTTTGAAGACCCCTGCTTACTACAGGTAATCCTCAACAGTTCACTTAGTGACTCTTCAAAGTTACAACGGCGCTGAAAAAAGTGACTTAGGGCCATTTTTCACATTAATGGCTGTTGCAGTATCTCCATGGTCATGTGATCAAATTTCAGCTGCTTGGTATCTGGCATGTATTTATGATGGTTGCAGTGTTCCGGGATCATGTGATCTCCTTTTGTGATGTTCTGAGAAGCAAAGTCAGATTCATTTAATAACTATAGCAACACTGTAGCACTTAGACTTATATACAGCTTCATAGTGCTTTACAGCCGTTTACCAAGTCAGCATATTGCCTACAACAATCTGGGCCCTCTTTTTACTGACCTTGGAAGGATGGAAGGGTGAGTCAACCTTGAACTGGTGAGGATCAAACTGCTGGCAGTCGGCAGAAATTGTCTGCAATACTGCACTCTAACAATTCTCCATTGTGCCACTCTGGCTCTAATTATGTTACTAACTTAACAACAGAAAGGTCATAAAATGGGGCAAAACTCACTTAACAAATGTCTCACTTACCAATAGAAATTTTGAGCTCAGTTGTGGTCGTAAGTCAAAGATTACCTGAACCCAGCCAAGGTATTTTGAAGAAATCTTAGTTAAATCTGGGTTTCTCTGGGGTTTCAAAACTGCATATTGAACTCATTCTGTTGTTGTATTTTAAGCCATAGTTTTTGTCCTTAATTGTTATTATGACACAAAGCAATAGGGGCTGAGGTGGGGAGGTGAAAATTAATGCCTCCTCTGAAAAAAAGAAAAGGAAAGAGAGAAAGAACAAATGAAAACAGGGCAGCCAGAGTGTGTTTTGAAAGCCTCCAATTCTCTGCTCAACCTGACTGAATTAAACTAAATTAAATCTGCATGTTCAATTTGTTTCTTTGCTGAGTTTTATGTTGCTGGCTTTAGTGGTTGTTTATTAGTTCTATTGAAAAAGAGGAAGGAAGGAAGGAAGGAAATAAGGAAGGAAATAAGGAAGGAAGACAAGGCATAACTTGAAATATTTCAATTTTCCGCTCTAGTTAGGAGTGATTATTTTAAAAAACACAACTAACTTGCTGGGGGGAGAAAATGATTCCTAATTTCCATTGTCTGTCCCACTAACTTAAGGTCACATGTTGCATACAGTAAAATAAAATGAATCCAAGTGTCTCTATGCATAATTACAGTACTGAAGCATGACATAAAAACTTTGTGGAACAAAAATAAGGGGGGAAAATGAGGACAGACTGACGGATCATTTTTGTTGATTTATGGATGTTGATGCTTACTTTTAGGAATTTGTCTTCCATTTTGTCTTTATTTTATTTTTTTAATGTTGGTTCATTAGTAAACCATCCAGAGAACTTTATATAGTAAGACAGCTAGGAAAGGTGCAAATGTATCAATGAACAGACAAAAACCACTGTTTTCTCCAACAGGCTTATTCCCTCCAACAAAGGGGAGAAAAGCCTGGCTGGGAAGGTCATATGCCAAGTGCCCAGATCTCCCATCTGTCCTTCCCTTGGAGATGCTTCCACTGGACTGAAGACTCTTTTGAATCCCTTTGCAGTTTGCCACTCAATTTGATGTGTCATCAAGTCGCTGTCCTCTCCCGTTGATCTCATAAACCTCATATTTTCTCTATTCCAATTTATGCCTAACCTGGTCCCTCAGGTCTTTCACTACCATCCGCCTTGCTGCTGGTTATCCACTTCTTTTCTTCCAATTTCCCTAGCATGAAAGTCTTTCCAAGAGACCTAGGTCTCTTCATATAATGCATCCAAAGTGGCATCATTTGAGCCTGTTCACTTATGCTTTGAGTGAGAACTCTGGGTTGCTTTGTTTGATGATCCCTGTTTTGTTTTCCTGGCTGACCGTGACATTGCTAAGAGTCTTCTCCAACACCAAAGGTCAAAGGTGGCAATACTCTTCTTATCCTGCTTCTTCAAAGTCCAACTCTTGCTCCCATGATGTACATGGGAGTCATTGGCTTGCATGATTCTGATCTTTGTAGTTGTAGGGACATCCAGTGATTTGAATACCTTTTTCAAATTCTTCCAAGGGCTAGTCTTTTTTTAAAACATAAAGCAACAAATATGTGTATGCCTAATCAATTCCTTCTTGACCACAAAAGAAGAAATAACAGATACTAATGCTGATGTGGCTGTTTTTTTATCACCTGCTATTGTGTGGCTATTTGGAGTCCACTATCTCTTGGAGTCTCAGTGTTCATTCTATGGTCTGGCCCAGCTGTGTTACTCACTGGGTATAATGGTCCTTGCTCTACTTCAACCAGTAGCAAAAGATTATCCTCTTAGAGCAGAACAGAAGAGCTGCCCTACCAACTTCATATGATTACCTTCACCATGCCGTTTTTGTTGGACTACCCAACCACAGATTCAGTCAAGGACCACAAAAACATGCATTTGAATTCAAACTCAGAATCATACTTAATGTTGGTGGCCAAAACCATACTAAGAGATACACTTAAATCCTGGGGAATCCAGAAAGACTTACTGGAACTCCATAAATTCCAGGGAATCCAGGAACACCCACTGGGCCCTAAAAAAATAAAAAGGAATATAGTTAAGTGTCAGTCGGTTCTTTACAATTCTAAATCCAGTTCATAAGGCATCCTAGCCTAGAACATTAGTTATACAGTAAAATCAAGGATGGACTTGCTATAGACAATCTTTTTGCATTATTTTAGTTGCATTTTGGTTCTCAGTCATGACTAACTCTCTATGCAGATGCTTTCTGAGGGTCTCTGGATGGTGGGTGGGCTACAGATATGTCAAATAAAGTGGTAAGAGAAAGTCTGTGAACTCTTTAAAACAATTCATAATCCAGCAGTACTGTGAGCTACAGTGAGATCAGTGCTTCAACTAAGCCCTATTAATGAAGAGTTTCTGGTTAAACAAACACACAGAACAGTCTTCCTTTCCTTTTGAGTCACACTATCAGCTAAAATAGCTTTCCAATTGTGGTAAAGGTTCACACTTGTACACACAATACTGGGAGGTCCTAAGCGCAACTATGCTGAGCCCCTAAGGGATCACAGCACCTTGGCCCTTCTACTGGCAGATTCTGATGGACACTCTGAAAGTGGCACATGTTTTGCACAACTATAAGAAATGACTTTTAGTGAAATACACACACTAATATAGTCTGTGTGCAGATAGATAGATAGATAGATAGATAGATAGATAGATAGATAGATAGATAGATAGATAGAT